AGCGATTCTGTGATTCTGTGATTCTATGATACTGTGATAATCTGATTATCAACAATTCATCTACTGCCCTCTTTAAGAAATGCATTGCACAATTTCAAAATAACAGAGATGACTGGTCCTCTGTCTCTTTGGTCCACACAAGAATAACCAAGGAAATCTCAAAGGAAAAATATCAATCCCACTCCTACTTTAGCTCACCACAGTTTTCACTGAAAAAAAAGCTATGCCGCTAAGTTTCACTTGCCCTTCCCCAAAACGTGAGGTTTACAGTCATACTTACTTTGTAAAATATAACAATGAAGATAATTAAATAGATGTCTATGAATGATGATATCGGAATATCAAACTTCACACAAGAACAGCTAGCGATGCATGTAGAAAGCACACTTGCCTGCCTAATAAAAATATGTGGTGTTTTTCCTCTCTCCCACCAGTCTGCACCACGAGTTTTGATGTCTTTTAGCATGATTCTTTCAACTTTTACCTTCCATCACCTGTCCACTAAAGAAGTCTTAAATCACACACATTTACTTTCTCTTCTATTGACGTGTTGCTGAGAATGTCTCAAGAAAGTCCACACATTATGCATACTTCCTCTACTTCTCTACTTAATATTTGCAGTTCCATTTCAAAATTGAACTTTGCTTCAGAGATCTCATTTGGTATAGCCATGGAACAGGAATAGGCGATATTGCTGCGTTTATTAGTAGGAGATTAGATTTGATGAGTCAGAACATCCTCTTCTGTCTCAACCTTTACCTTTATCAGCCTGTCCTAAATTGTCTCTTCCACATTGAACAAAGAGAACCTCTAATGTTCATGAACAGACAACTTTTCTGCTATGGTTCTCATGCTATGGTTTTTCACTAAAACATATCCCATTCAGTCCCCTCCTTCATGACATCCATGTCTATCTATTTCTTTGTTCACTCTCTTTTCGTTCCTTCTCAAACATTCACTCTTGTCTAGTCCTATCCATTAATTTGAAAAGACCCTAGAAAAACATCCTCCTACTTCCTCTGTTGTACTTCCCTCTGGATTCTTCCTGTTTAGTCCTTTAATCTTCTACAGTTATCCATACCACAAACATATTAAAGAATTTCTGGATCCACGTTTCTTACCTCTCTTGCTGGTGTCATCATTTCTTTGGATGACACTTCAGAGCCCAACTTCTTCCTCTATTACTTTTCATACTTGACTTCAACCTATCATGTTTCTGACAATAATTTTGAATTCTTCCATCAATCTGAAACTCTCACCTCTTTTCAACTTCAGAGCTCTGATTCCCTGCGGAGGAGCAATCACTCAGGAAAAAAATTCAGTATGGCGAAAACTGAATATGTAAAATTTCATTCATCCAGTTCTAAACCTAAATGTCTCTGCAGTCAGTTCCACTGTTCCTAACTTACGTTACATTAAAATCCAATGTCTTAGAACTTAATATCTAAGAAGCTACCAAATTCTGTAAGTTCTTATGTCACTGTTTCCAGAATACACTGTTTTCCCCTAAAACTGGCATGCAGCTTTTCTTACCTGCATCATACTTACCATAAGGACCATTCTAGTGCTTGTCTACTCACTATACTTGCTGCCTCACTACTCTTGAGTTCATTCAAAAAAGTGTATGTTTTCTCCACTCTGTCTCTTAAAATTCATTCAAATTTCCATCACTGGATTTTATTTTCCCTTCCATCTACTTTCTGACTCTTACCCTTAAGTCTACACACTACTTCCTTATCTGTTTATTTCTGAAGCCACATGTTCTAATTCTCACCTTGGTGCTCTTTTAATTTGCTCACTGTGCTAGAAGCTTGTGAAGTCACCATACAGCCTCTATCAAATCTGCACTTAAACAATCTCTTTGAGCTCATTTAAATATACAAAATTAGAATGAGAACAAATACAGTGTATCACCTGTAAGTCTACAAGAAATGGCATTCTTGAAAAATCGTATTTTTATGTAGTAAAACTATCCACATATCTTCCGCTCATGACTCTCTTCATAATTATTTTTAATACCACTTTTACTGATTAAGAAGCCTTCAATACATGAGTTTTATCAATGTTATCAAGTGTTTCTTTGTAAATCATTTATTTCCAGATTTACAGATATACATTTTGTTCACAATTAAGTACACCTAATTTTTTCTTCATTGATTGACACCTGAGCCTGTAAGTTTCTGTCCACATGCGTAAATGCCTTAACTTTCTCTACTGTATCATTTTAGCATCCCAGTGAAAAAAAACCAAAACGAAAACCAAATTAAAACAAAAAACCCTAAAGAAATGGAAGAATATAGTTTAATTTCTAGAGGAAGTAAAAATAGGCTTTCAGGCAAGGCTGCACCTCCAGTTTCAGTTGCTTTTTTTAAGGTCTAAGAACTAATACTGATGTTTGTAGAACATAAACAGTATAACTACATTACTTTTAGGCTATGGGTTCCTAAGTTGGAGTCTCCTTTGTTTCCTTGAATAATAATAAAATGGTATTCTCCCACATTATCTGTATATATACTAAATTCAGTAATCTCGCATGCCAGTTTGAGATAATGAAACAAGATACCACTTGTGAAACACAGGAAAAGGTCCAGGCTTTGACACATATGTCAATACGTTGCAAATCAGATAAAACCCTCCTGATTATGGAAGTACAAGAGCCACTCATCTCATTAATATCCAGAGAATTTAAATGTATTATGCTTTTTTCACATCAATTTATTTGTATGAAGAAGTCTAAAAAAGAATTTACAAATCCAGCTTTCAGCTACCCAATATATGAAAGAAGATCTTAACATACTAATTGTCTAAATTCTGCAATATGATGACAGACTCAAAAAACAAAGAGCCACGTAAAGCTGGTTATATCTGCAATCTCCTTTTATTTGAAAGGTAAACATATCCATATGCCAGACATCAAAGGACAACATTTTCCACTGGTACTCTGCAGTTAAGATGTACTTCCACCGATGCCAAGATCTGACTTTGGGTCACAATTACAGCCCATTTTTGCTACACAGTTAAACCAAGAAATTTCACTTCAAATTACAACCTCTGAAAATTGACTAACCTTTCAGTATTGAAGTTGGAATGAGACAATTCAAAAATCCCATGAGTCTGAGCTGAAATTAGTTGTTGGATATAAACAGCTGGAGAGAGGAAGGGAGACATATCTGAAGGTACTATATTGAGAGAAGCAGGACTCCCTTTAGGGGAGAAACAGAGAACAGTTAGTAAAAGGAAGCAAGATAAATAATGTGAGAAGAACATTATTTCTATAAATATATAAAATGAAAAAAAAAGGATAAAAAGAGAGAAAAATGGGTTAAGAGCAGTAGCAAGTCTTAACAGAAAGTGGAACAGAAAAGGGAAGCAAAGGAGTGGAACCGCTGATGCTCCAAGACTTCATATAGAGTCTCACCTTTAAAACTGTAATTATTTGCCCCTGATTAAAGTGTAAACCACTGTGAGAGGTATGTTACCACAGAATAAACTGACATACGGAATTTAGGAGTCTCATATAAGGTTGGGATAAAGCCACTCAAACTAGTAACAGGTACTTCCTCGAGTCTGCTGACCGCAGCTACGTTGACAAGGGTACATTTTCTAAAACCTGCAATTGGACAGGACACAACAATAACTCAAAGCGCAAAGGATGGCAGGTAGTGGGACTGCTACTCTAGTCAGAATTACATTTACACATATTCCATGGAATGAATCCACCAATATTAACAGCATTTCAAATTTATACTGTGGTGTCATTCAGCTTCTCAAGAACAGGCAGACACCAAGCACTGTTCCAAGCATTAAATCAAGCACAGCTTCAGGCTCTAAATACACAACATGTGTTTGGAAGCACTTATAAGAAAAAAAGGGTTTATTTTCTAAACGCTAGATGCAAGCAATAGTTCTAGGAAAGGTGCAACCTTCCTGCTAAAGCCTGAGGCTAAGATCAAAAATATGCACAGCCACTAAAACTAGGATCCTCTAGGACTTAGTCTTGATAATTGCATCCTTGCATAAAAAATTTTGTATTGCAGTTTCAGCTTGATATAACATGCTTTAATTTTATTTCCTAAGTAATGGTGTGAAGATTTCCACACTTTTGTGGTATGCATCTCCTGCCACTCATTGGTTATGGGTTAGTATGGCTAATAAGAGTTGACTTGTCACCAAGGAAAGAAATTTTAGAACCAGGGTATCTTCATACTGAATAAGAGATAACTCAATAGGAAAAACATGTGCATTTTCTATATACCAGGTGCAACATAAAAAACAATTTAAGTAATTCCACTATTTGCCAAGCAGTATTATTGAACTGCTATCATTACTACACCAGAAAAAAACGAGTATAATTTCCATATAATGTTTGTGAGACAAACATCATATTTTACATTACTAATTAGTTCTGTAATACTGCTAAACAGCTAGAAATGGTGCAGTATTAGTACCGAACATGTCCTTCACAGACCTGACTAATTCTTGACAGAGAAGTCCCTAAAAAATCCTAACCAAACCCTAACCAAATGGCTACAAAATGCCCTCATCCACTTCTCTTTCATGAAGGAAAAAAGTCAGACTGGATTTGTGAAAGTTAGGAAAAGTTTATGGACACTGGGGTCAGAGCAAAATGCCAACCAACCAACTGACCTCTGCCAGTGGGAAGGACGTAGAGTTATTGTGGGAACTATTGGACTCAGCAAGTTGCATTTGTGCTCAGAGAGCAACTGTATTATCACTCCATTTATTTAGTGTACTTACTCAGGCATTTCTAGGACAACTTACTTCTAGAAATGCTCCCTCACTATGGGGTGTGAACTACAAGGTGGAATATAAATGTATAGCTTAGGCAAATAGAAATTGTAATCATACATTCTAAAAAGATGCCGGTCTTCTCACTATCATTGCTTCACTGACACAAATGAATCATTATTGCATAATTTCCTCTGAAGATAACAGGAAGTCTTGATCCTTACTTCGACACTGGATTTTTTTCAATGATTTATTTCATTTTCTTATAAAACACTATCATCATCTAGTGGTATATTTTGCTACCATGTAAACTGCATGTTAAGAAGATAAAAGCATTTCATTTACTTAGCATTAAACATTTAGAATAAGACATAAATTTATCATCTTGCAGTTATGCCAAACTATGTGTGGGTGGGTTGGAAAATGAAGCAACATGAAACAAACTTGACAGAACTGTTGAGGATTTTGAGAACAAACAACATGCCCACATTTTGCATGACATAAACCTGAATATTTTTCTGTCAAAAAGTGAAGACAGATTAAATAAAAAAATACAGCTTGAGGATGCTTCATATCCTCATTCATATTATCCATAAAGTATAAAGGGACATGAGCAAATATTTTGAAATAAAATCTCACAGGTTTTTCAAACAAAAATATTTTTCACACCGTTTCTGTTATAATTTGGGAGGGGAAATCCCATTTTAAAAAATCTACTATTTATTATGAACATACAACCAGAATCTACATAAAGAAGTTGCTGACTTACGTGGTAACTTTTTAGTCTAACAAAATCGACTTTCATGGAGATGAACCTTTCTGAATTTCTGCTGAGATTTTTAATGTGCTCCACAAGGTCAGCACAAAACTTGTAGCCACCTTTGAGGACACAGAGAACCACAATATCATTGTCTCCAATGTCTTGCATAATATCTTTGGCCAATCGTTCTGTCCTGGGGCAAAAAAAATAAGGATAAAATAACGTTAGATGCAGGTTCTTTAAGTTCATGGTATGCTTTCCATGTGGTTACAAAGAAACACTATGGTGGGTACATAGCTTGACAGTCTGTTTAAGTGTCTTGACTTGACTTAAAGGGGTTTTGGGTCAAGCTCACAGGAGGCAGATATGCAGTGACGGATGCAAGATGCAAAGCATGTGAATCAAACTGGTTAACCTTCAATGCATACATTCCCCAGTTATAGAACAGGGAGTAACACATCTCGCTGTATGTTGAATTCATAAGCATTTTGGAGACTTTGGAGTAAAGAATGCAACTCAGCCTTCACTTTTACCTCACAGGAACACTGATACAAACTACTACAGTACAATTCCCTCACTTGTTATGTTAGTTACACAAGAACAATAAATTAAGTGAAAGATAGGGAAGAGAATTATTAGAAATATTTCACACTGATAGGCTTTGGAAGAATCTTCCCCTACAATTTAAATGAAAATACACACCAATAATATAAAGAAATATAGCATCAACCAAAATTTTATAAAGTGTACATTATCACTATTTCACACAGAAAAAAAATAAGACTGCGAAGAGCTTAAGTAACTTGTTCAGGGTCACACACATGAGAATAATCAAGGCTATGCTCCAATTAATCCAGAGTTGCAGGGTTCCCATATCTGTCTTCTCTTTGCATCTTCTCTGCATCGCAAACACAATGTGGCAGATGATTGAAACCAAAAATACACATTTCTGCCATACAGTAGCACATAAATTTTCAAGATAAAAATAATAAACATGAATGCTTATCTAAGTAGCTTTGCTTTCTGATGAACAAGGTAGATGGCCTTTCTAGACCTAAAACAGGGTACCACGTCACTTCTAGCTGTAAAGCAGGTATGAACAGAAAACTGAACAACAGTGTTTGATATTTTGAGGAAAAACAGCTCAGTGCATTATTTTCTGTAAACACTTCCACTGGGAAGTTCTTTGATAGCTCTCTGAATTAGATCAGTAGTTTCGAGAGTGGACTGCTAGACAGAATGCAATTTATTAAATAAGTCTATAATTTATCCCATGTCTTTTATGATTACATTTTTCATTTTCTTTTTTTCTCTATCCACTGTAATATGGGAATCCATTTGCCACTACAGAAATACATCCAACTTCAGTGAAATCTACACATGTGCTTGTACCAGAGAAGAATAAGCTCTAAATTGAAGATAATATACTAGTTATGAACAAAAGCTGTTACTTTTATTTTCATATCTTTGTATTTGTAATCCTCAAGTAAATTCCATATATTAGTGATTAGTATTTTTTAGATGTGAAAAATTGATTGTATCATTAGATCATCTTGTTTGGCCTCAAATTTATAATCCCTTTCACTGATGCAAGAATGAAGATTATTAAAAGACTTTGACTTACTTTACTGAAGATTAGTAAAACAGTCTTTTATCATCTTTTATCAAGTCTAAGTATAACAGTGAAAATCTCTCACTAAGAAGAAACATTTCTCTGGTGATTTTCTTTTTTTTTATATTCTTCCTCAGATTGTTTGAGAAGCTGAAACTTCCAAAAAGTCTAAAGACTACTTTAATGGAGTATGAACTCCAGCATAGAAAAAAATGTACTAATTTCAATTTATAAATAAAAACATACCATTTTTTTAACCTATATTTAATTGTTACCAACTGACAAGAGAATTTTCTCAAGTGCTGAGCCTTCTTCCTATGTGAACATTTTGCATGATCACAATATATTCAGTTCTGCATCCTTTTCTCTTAGAACAGTCTTTTCTGCTGGAGTAAGAAAAAACAGTGAAGTTTATTCTGCTGAAGTACAAAAACAACACTGGAGTACAATCCTTACTTCAAACAAAGTTATATCGAATTCGATGAGAACTGAAGTTGTAACATATTTCTTTTAAAAAGAGGAATTGAAAGTCAGTTGAGCAAAAGAAAAGAGATGAAAAAGTCAACACAATGGTAACTGAAAAGGCAATGAAAGAAAGTTTGTGTTTAAAAACAAATACAGGAGTCATAACCATCAAACAGCTACACTGATAGCACAGGGGACCTATGAGAAGCTAAGGGATGAGGGATGATCAAGCTTCCCCGCTGCCACCATTCAAACCCAGCATCTGGACCCAAACAAGACAAACTCTTCAGTTGTGCTGAATGACAGAAGTCAATGGTCATTAGGGTAACTGGCATTAAAGATCTGTACTAGGGTGTTGCCAGTTGTATAGAACTGAATGTAGTTTTTTCTCCTTTTTATACTAAAAACACAGGTTGGACAGAGTGCAAGTGGGACATTCAAGTATAACTATACACAAAGCTTTGTACTTGCTATTTCACCTTCAGTTCAGCTCTCTTGTAATTTACAGTCCAATGCCAATTTCACTATATGATCCACTCTCCCTTTTTTGGGACCCCTGTCTCATTCAATGCCCAAATCAGAAATCAGGTCAAAGGAATTAGAGAAGGAGTTACAAAGGCAACTACAAGTCTAGCATTTCGTAACCTTCGAGGATTTTTTTACTTTCCAAATTAATAAATAAAGTAATTTTATAATTGCTAATACAATATTTTAGGACACATGTTATACACACATTGTGGATGGCAGGCTTTATAAAAAAAGAATAATACACTACTGATTAAATAATTTATTTAGTAACATTCAAACTACACATACCTGTCAACAATAATGCCATGAGGTATGAGCACATATTCCAGATCTCCATAGTAGTGCTGAGGATAAGTGAACAAATCCAGACTGTATCCGGGCCAATTGTCTGAAATCTGAATATCGAATAGTACTGTGAAGAATACTTCATGGTGGTTGACAATATGTAACTGATATAAAATCAGTGTTCTAGTACACTATATTGGCTGAACTAATCATATGGCATACTCTCTTCCAGTTATAATTCACTATTTCACTTTTCCTACTAATTATTTTGCTTGTCAGTATATCTCAGAAATCAGATGCTACAGTTTTCTCCCTACAGAATGTGGGAAATTTCACCTGAAATTACAAACTAGATAGAAAGAGGGAATATTTAATACTAAGCTAGTGGCAAGTCTAAGTTTCTTACTACTTCCAAACTTGAAATGCAAATATAAGATTACCAGTAAGAAGGGATTCTGCAATGCCAGGTTCAGACAGTGGGATTAAAAGTCATAAAATCTTCCATAAAAATTGTAAATTTCTGTTTTGGAGGTATTTTAAAGCCACACATAAATAAATATTCTACAGATGAAACAACACATATGGAGAATAAATTATGTGGTTCATGGATGATACCTGTACAAATCAGCGGAAGACTGTACTTCTTGCCAAAGGTGAGGTTCTTAATTTAGATAAGTCATCAGAGATAACTGACTACAAAATGTTCACATCTCACCTCACTATCAGGTAGTCTGCAAATCCATATATTTACAGAAAAAATACTTTACAGATTTAATATACATTAGTTTCTTAACTATCAGAACACAATAATTAGGAGATCCCAGAGCACACAATGACAATAGAGATTAAGTAGGGCAAAAATCAGCCAACAGGCAAAAGCTTCAGAAAGCTGTGAAGATGCCAAGTCTTCAGCACAAGAACTAAAAAATCTCCAACAATTTCACAATTCCTCACGAAAGACAAGACCTGCAGGTTCACAAGGCTTCTTGGAATCATGACAAAGCTTTGCTTCAGGATTGGTTCAGGATAAAAAGCAACACCTAACAGGTTTTATTTACAGTTATGTTCCTCAAGTTACATACTGACTTTCTTCTTTCTACAGCTTGGCCACATGAACCCTGAGTAAAAGGACAAATGGTGAGAAACTTGCCTTTGTGAACAGCACTTCTTAATGGCATTTCTGCTGAAAACAGCCCTTACAGGACCATCACTGACACTAACCTCTGTTCATGACTGCATGTAGTAGAGCAAAACCATCTAGGCTAAAACAACATATTTGATGTAGAGCTGTTCCTCCACATCTAGTAATCTTGAACTTACACATAGACCTGCTTCATGCTGTACTGAAATAGTGTTCTGCCTCGCAGTTTTTTGTTTGGTTGGACTTTTTTTGCATATTCATTGATAGCTACAGGCACTTCAACTGTTGGGTTTTCTTACCTCTGCCCAACAGTTCCTGCATCAAAAAATTACTTGTTTGTAAATCCTACTGAACATTTGCCCATAAAAAGCATGACTTGGAGATCCCTGGAATCAATGAAAGCCTTTCCCCTGACTTAGACAAAGCCTTTAAACTATATATAAGCAAAAAAGTTAGTTACATTGCTCATTTCCATAGAAACAGGAGATTATAAATATCCTCCTTGGCAAGGTTTTTAATTAGAGGCAAATCTTGCTCCAAAACACTGGTTCAGAAGGTCTGGGAAGCCTGAATTAATTTTCTGTACATAGGGGTGGCTGACACTTTTTAAACATTTTGTAGCAATGAAATGTCTGGCATGGTTTTGTTCAAGAGCATTTTAACATAAAATGAAACAATTTCAGATAGTGCTTCAAATTGCAAAAGTACTATAAACACCCACTAAGAATCCCTGTCAGTGACGCTTACTTATGCATTCTCCTCAGATTGCATGTTTTTAGTGTGATACAGATCAAGCTAAATGGGTGGAAACTGCTTCAGAATTCACACAAACCAATAGCTTTTACTTAGGTTACAGTAAGTCTTTTATGAAACAGGATCAGGATGAAATTTTGATTCTCCTATCTATCCTTCTGGCTCTCTTGAATAAAATAATATAAACTGCATCACTATGCAATAATACAGAAGTTCTCATATACAAGCATTCACTGACATCTGACAAATATGATTAAACTCACATGTACTTTCTAATTAATTCTTTTTCTAATATAATAAGCCCATTTCATAGTCTTCTTTCTTTAAAACAGGCACTTCCCAACAATAAGGCTTAGAAATTCTCATTTACCCTAAGGCTATTCACAGTGTTATGCTACAGGACAATTTTCAAGTAACTGTAAATTTTTATGAGTATTCAGCTTGTGAATTTTTTTATAAGTGCGATTATCCTCAGTTTAATAGCTAAGCATCAAAAAATATCCACCCAAAATTAAACTCAACTTTTATTTACTTCTGGCTTTAGGCCTTAAAAATATGAAGGAAATATTTGTGATTGTTTCAATTAAAAGAGTATGCAACTAGACAAATAAACATATATACATTGGTATATACTGGTACACAAGTGTGTAAAAAACACGTCTTACAGACACCCACGTTAAAAATGTCATTTACCACGCAGGTGTCAGGAGAAGTGGCTGATGCTTGGCAGTTTCAGAGCTGAGTTTTTCTGGAAGGGAGATGGAGGGGACGCTGCTTTGGACAGGGTGTAACCACTGCCAACGCAGGGCCCTCAGCTCTGGCCATAATCTGGGTGGCTGTTCTGCAGCTCCATTAAAATCCCAATGCCACAACAAAATAAGAATATACCTAAGGTGGCGGCAGTGATGGTATTTGTTTCACAGGAGAACCTGGTTTGTCCCTCAGAATATCGAGCATATTCGTTTATTTTTGTCCAATTTATTCAGCCCCACAGGCTCTCAAAACTCACTGCCGAAGTTCGGGCTTTTTCTCTCCACAGAATAAGCAGCAGCCTAAGAGCCGGCTTTTACAGCGCTCCTACATTCTCAAAGGCCTTTAAGCATTTCGGTGGTAGTCAGACATGCCGGGATCCCTGGGGATCCCGATCTGTTACTCAAGCAGCCTGGTGAAACGCACAGCCACAGCCGCCCCTTGGAGTAATTCAGGGACACGTTTTCACAGTGGAAGCCAAAATCCCGGCGAAGCCC